TCTCATGATACTCAATTTACCTTAATTTTTGTTGATAGAAAAAACTTCAACAGCTGATTATGTTAAATAAGCATGAGCTTTTCATTTGGCCAATATATCTCAAGAATTTTGTTTGTTTTTGTATGAATGATGCATACTGGCTATAAATTTTACTAAAATTACTCTTGCATACACACATGCTCTTTTTGGTATTTATTATGAAGCATAACTAATTACCTTACCAAAATCAAGGAAAGATAGTTAAGTTATTAAATTTATTTAAAATGACATAAACTTTTAATTTTATATCTATTTAAATAAAAAAAATAAATTTCCTACTCTGGCTTGAACTTTCTGTATTTATTTTTGCTTTGTGCATTATTGTCTTGAGTGTTTGCTTGCAATTTAATATATAATTATCATTCAGCTAAAAAAATAGGAGTAATATTGAAATGATATAATTAATACTACATCAAGTATTCTATAATAGGGCTAGTATATCCTTTTACTATCAAAATTTTCTATACTCATTTAATTAACTAAGATGCTCTCCATAAAAAAACAAAATGCAAAAGAATTGGTAGAGGATACTTTAATCGAAAATTTATATGCACACTAGAAGATTAAAGTATAACAGCTTTATATATATAAAGTGCGCATGATAATGTCAGCAAATAAAAAATTTATTTTAACAAAACTAAAAATCACATGTGATTTATCATGAATCCTTATATATATCAAGTTTACAAAAAAAATTGAAAAAAAAATTATATGCTTAAGTTTATATATTCAAGGTGCATGTTTTCAATCAAATTAAAACGTGAATTTTAATCTTTTTTAAATTATTTACTCCAAAATAAATTCTTTTTGATAATATTAAAATTCACTTGTTTGGATTGGATAAAAATATATTAAGTATAAAGGGTTAAGTATTAAAGTCTTAAAAAATATTAATTTTCATCATATTTTGATGCTTAAGAATTTATAAAATGAGTGTAAAAGTAATTTTAAAAAATACAAATAAGCCACTGGATTAGACAAACTTCATTTTTTGTGCCATCCAACGAGATACGCACATTATCTTAGACACATAAATGATAAAGTTTCGTCGTCAGGCTTAATTAAAAATTTCAAATTGTTTGTATTATATTAAATTGTAAAAGTTTATAATACAACAAAATAATTTGTAAAATTTTGAAAAAACTTTTGAAATTAAATATTGTTAATTTAAATGTTTTAAAATTAAAATACTAACATTTTTGTCTTCTCAAACTTTTAAAAAAAATTCAGCATTCAGTCAAAGCAGGAGGACGGTCCAAATTGGGAAGCTGCAATGATATATCGAAGTAAGCTGGCAGGTGACTTGTCAACTTTCCCTATCGATATTCAAATTATCAATCAAGTCTACAAATTATTAAAATTTTTAACGCAATTTCTTGTTTTTTTTAAATAAAAGTACTCGTTTTAATAAATTAGTTATAAAATATAATATTTTAAAATTTTACAACATGCAAATTGTATTGAAGAAGTATATATCCACGATATAATTTGGGAGCCACTCAAAAACTCCTCGCTTCTTCGTAGAACTCACTGTTTAAACATGTTCATTTATGTGTGATTATATGTTCAAATTAATATTTTTTAAATATGGTTATGAGACTAATTTTAAAATAAATTCAATTGTAATTAAAGAAAGCATATTAATCACGTATTATGCATTCATTTGAAGCATAATAATAAAATAATAATAACGATTATTTGTAAGAAGAGGGACTCTTGAAGTCCAAAAATTCATATTGCTGGCAAAAGAAAGAGTCTCGAAATTTATAATACTCATAACCAAATATTTTGGTTTCAAAATCGCTAACAAGTTAAATTGTAAAAATTAAGTTATCATTGATATTTCATAATGTTATTCAAGATGTTTAAAACTGTAACATATCATTTTATTTAATTTACAAGAATATTTTCATAAAGAAGTACCCTAACAAATGAAAAAAAAATCATGTAATTAGAGGTTTATAAATACAAATAACAATTCTAAATACTATCAAAAATATATATTCATCATTACTAAAAAAATTTTAAATATTTCATTTTTAAAACTGATAACACTTCATGAATTTATAGATAGTTAAATATCGTTTTCATGGCAATATTTATAAGTTAATAGACTCAAATTTTTTAAGGAAAGAAAACTGGGAATGGTGTCTCAATGAGTGATATATAAGCAATGAATGCGTATTATGGCCATCATGTTATTCGGATAAAAGCGCATTCTTTGGATATCAAACAAACAAACAAAAAATAGAAAAGAAAAAAAAAGCGCGTTCTTTTTTTGTCACTATCTTTTACATGTCCCCACGTGCTCCTCATTTTTGCCTTTTTCCCTATGGATCTTCTTACATAGTTACATGCAAGTACAATAGTAAATAAATACTATGAAGGTGGCAAAGGTGATAAATAAACACATATGCTCATCATTTTTAATCATCTGTCAGGATGCAAATCTCACTTAAAATCTAATGTGATTTGATTTGTAATCTTTTCCTGCATGGGTTCTCGGTAACCTTATATTAAAAAATAATAATAATAAACATGCTTGCATATTTTTATTGAGTAGGATTTATTTGAATTGATTTTAATGATGCATCTGACCATGATGGGACAATCGTACATTCATTTTTTCCAAAACCGCATGGCCCTCAACAAAGTGCTTTACATCTTGTGAGCTATATTGTCCACTTGTATCGTCCACAACAACAAGCCTCGACTTGTTATTCCGACAAGCTTCGCATCTTTTGATAGTGAGTACAAATATCTTCTATAAACTTTACTTAATGTAAAATATAAAGTACTAAATAATTTTATATTTATTTTTTAATTACATCCTTATTATTAAAATTTTAATTACTATTAATAAAGCTTTTATATGTAATATTTAATAACAATATAAATGAAAAGTTGTAAACGTTTTTAAAAATTTAAAATTTAAAATAGCACTGTTAATAAATTATGAATTAATTAAATATGATTTATATTATGGTATGAAAAAAATATTATATTATGTAGTAATTATTTATGAATGAAAAAAATAAACGACATGGATTTGTAAGACAGCATATTATTGTTTTGTATCTGTTAGTGCTCATGAACAAAAGAATAAATATATTCCTTTCGTTACAAAAATATAAAATATTTTTAATCAAATCTCATCCTAAATAAAATAGTTAATTATTTTTAAACTATTATATCTTTTTATATTTATCCCTATTAGGTATCTTTTTCCTAAAAAATATAAAGTGGTCTATTTAGTATAAATATTTTTTTTTTAAAAATAATGATTATATCTTGAAAAATTAAAATTTTTTTACATTTTTAATTATCTAACTTTTTAAAAAATATTTTATATTTTTTATCAGAGATTTCTTACTATTGGCTTTTAAATAGAAATGCAAATCCTATAGGATGATGGAAAAGAGCATTCTCAAATTTGAGGCGTCAGCAAAGCCACTGGTCTGAAGTTCGACATATCACCTACAATGGTTCTTTTAAAATTTTTTATTTATGTTTTTGTCAAAACCATCCAGATGTCAACTTGTTATGTTCTTGTTTTAATTGTTGGCTTGTGTTCTTGTGTAAATTAAAGCTAATAGAACTCGAAGCCCGAATTCACCTTGGATGATTTTTGGAATTTTTTATATGTATTTCATTTTATTTCAATGAAATTGATCCTTATTCAAAAAAAAAAAAACCATCAACCCCCTATTCAATTCACGAGAGAATAAAATTATGGGTAAATGAGTTTTAAATTTTAAGTTCAATAACACTATAAATTTTGAACTCGTTTATTATACAAATTATACCCTCAACTTTTAAAAATGATGTAATTTAGCTTTTATCATTAACAAAAGTTAACTTTAATCTATTAGTTGATCATAAAATAACATAAAAAGACCTCAAAAATTATAATAAATGACCCAAAAATTATAGACAAGAACTCAAAAAACTATAGAAAAGGACTAAAAAATTTTGTCCCCTTTGTTGTAATTTTTAAACTCTTTTTCCGTCATTTTATAATCAATTAATAATTAAAATTAACTTTTATTAATGACAGAAGCTAGATTGCATCGTTTTTAAAAGTTGAGGGGATAATTTGCACAATAAAAAAGTTTAAAGTTTATGGTAATACTGGACTTAGAATTTAGAGAACAATGTGCTCATTTATCCTAAAATTATTTTATAGTATTAGTTACTATTTATAACTGTATAAATTGTATATTTATTTAGTAAACTGAATCATTTATTGGCGAAGATGTTTGTTGCATGTTTTTTTATACATTTGTTACAAAATAAATGAAAATATTAATTATTTTTATATGAACAGATAAAATGCAAATAACTTAGTATTTACAAAATAAATGAAAATATTAATTATTTTTATTTTCACAAATAACTACTATAATGTGAAAATTTATACCTGCTCGGTTTAAAATATAAGTATTATTTTTCAACTAATTAATATATAAACAACTTAGTATTTATAATTTTTTCATTTTACCCTTATATTTATTGACCAAGATTTTTGTGTTTGTGATATGACCTTGTTCTTACTTATTATATATTAGAATTAAGGGTAAAAAATATGTAACATGAATTTTCATAAAACTAATGATTTTATTGGTTGATGAAATATTATTAAAAGTTCCTTAATTTTCCAGGTAAATATGTTTGTTAATAAAAATCGGAGGATTGCTAGGGTATTATTAAAAATTGATCTAAATAAATCAAGTTTATAATAGAAGCATAACGAAAAGAAAGTGGAGAGAAAAAAAAAATCCAAAAGCGCAGAGAAGCACTTGATATATTGTAAATCTAAAAAAATTAAAAAGGCTAAAAAAAACTGCCCTTGTGTATTCCACTTCTGCATGAAAATGATTTTTAACTTTATATATACTATTATTTTGTCACGTTAATTGGGAGTCTAGTACCTCCCAAGCTGCGTCAACGTCTATCTTTGCCTATTTTCATCTCATAAATAAGTGTGACTCTTCTCTCTTCTCTGCTCTGCTTCACAAACAGTGAGCTCCAATCTCCGAGTTCTCATGAAGCTCAATTTGGGATGTCCGAATCTTCTGCTTTCCCTTCTCCTTCTTGCCACCACTTCAGTCTTCATCTTCCTCCCACAAATGGCTTTCGCTGCCACACCCAAGTTCAGCATCGATGAAGGTAAACGAACACCCAATTGTTTACCATGTACTTCACTTGTTTGATTTTTTGCTTCTATCAGAATCTCTATTGAAAAATGAAAGATTGATTACTTTTGCTTCCGCTTCTTTATCTTCTATCATCTTTGTTGATTCATTCGGGTTCCTTTTATCAAAAGATCGTGGACACTTTGTTGCCAATCTCTGGTTTCTAGACAGAAGAAACATCAGATATTGATTTGGTTTCGGCTTCTCCATCTCTTTATTAATGTTGACTGAGTTGGGGTTTGTCTTTCTTGCTGGGTTTGATGAATTAGCGAATCTGGCTTTTGAATTACGCAGTGAAGGCATTGAAGGAGATAGGGAAGAAGCTGGGGAAGAAGGAGGGGGACTTTGGGGTAGATCCCTGCAGCGGAAGAGGTAGATGGAATGTGTCAGATGATTGGAAAGGCTTTGCAAGCTCTGTCATCTGTGATTGCTCCTTCAACAACAACTCATCTTGTTATGTTGTACGCATGTACTGCTCTCTCTCTCTCCCCCCTCTCACTCTCAGTCTCAAACTCTCAGTTTATTTCTATTTTTTCTTTTCTTGGATAGTTGAAAATTTTTCTTACTGTTCATGCATTTAAGACTGGGCAGAATGAAAATGTTCATGAATTTTAGGGTTATGTTTAGTTACCTACGTTTTATATTTAAAAAGAATCTTTGAAAATTTAAAAATATAAAAATTATTTGTTTTTTTTGAATTATTTTCAAAGTTGATTTAAAAAAACATATTTAAAAAATTTTAAAATACATTCTTTAAATTTAACTTTAGATAGTTTTAGTTTGCATAATTCTATCATCAACTAATTCTGACTCTCTTTTTTTTTTACTCAATTATTACTATAATCTGGGCAATTTTTAATTTACTAAATGAACTTTTAAAAAAAATTATTTAAACACAAATTTTGTTATAATAACTAACTTTCATCAAATTAATTTTTATCAAATGAAGTTTTAATCAACAAACTTTTGATTAAAAACCAAACACTTAATTTTTTATAGACTAGTGAAATGAGTCAACTGGCAAACTTATAAGAATTAATATGTCGAATGGATTAAACTTATTTTAAAATAATTTAATTTTTTAATTTTAAAATTATAAAAAGTTGTATCTTTATAATCACTTAATTATTTTGGTTATATGATTATCATTTTTATCAAAAGTCAAAACTATAAATTATATCATATTTTTATATTATTTTATACATTTTTAATGTTGTAAAAAAATTCAGCATATAAAATTAATATTTTTATATATATAATTACAATTCATTCGACTATAATCTAACTATGATCAAATTATCAATTATAAACTAACTCTTTTTTTTTGCCTATCTAATAATCAGTTCAATTTTAAAAATTTCATTTGCTATCCATTATATTTATATATATATATATTTTGCTCACTCTCTAAAATATGCTTCTTATACACTTTGATTGAGATTTAAATTGGGGGGATAATTAACCTTTCATCAATATCAATATTTAAAGAGAAAAACTGAAATAATAATAGGAAAAAACGCAAGGCACAGTTTCACGTAGAATCACGCGTGGACCAGAGCTGGAAGAACTGAAGAAGACAGTTTTTCTTTTTCTTTTTTTTTCCAGCCATGGTTGATGGAGATCTTCACCTGTCTGGGATGTTAATTACATATACTTGTAGTTTTCAAACTTTCATCAAGTCTTCTCGTGCCCCTCCTACTGAAAAGCTCTTTCTTTCTTTTTTCTTTTAGTTGGAAATATTGAAATATGAAAATTTAATTAATGGAATGTTAGCGCTACGCCTGTACTTATTAAATTTTATTCTTTGACCATGAACCAATTCTAAAACAAGTTCTAGAATTTTGGCCAGCTAGTAAGGTTATCTGTAAATTTCCACTTGTATCTTGATGATTGAGCCAGCTGAACTATTGCAACTTTAGTGTCATTTAAAAGAAAAATTTACCTCTTAAGAATAACTCTTTCTTTTTTTGACTATGTAAAATAAAATGTAGATTAGACATCAAATTAAATTTGGATTTTCTATATTTCTGCAGTCATGCATTGAAAAACTTTTAAAAAACCATGATTATTGATTAAGATTATTTTATATTTTCTCTACTTATAGTATAGACTTTATAATTATTTTGTGGCTATGAAGGATTTCAATGATTTTTTTTTTGCCAAATTTCAATGATAAATTTAACCGCTATTTTATGACTAAAATGATAGTGTGACAGGCATTAATTTCATTTGTTGGGATAACATGGGTCAGGGCCACATGGATGTGCTAATGAATCCTGCTTTCGAGTTTGGGTTGATGAAGGCCCTGTTTATGGAGGCTGAACTTTAATTTTGATTCCATAAAGTATGTTCAGTCAAAATCTGATTTACATGGTTCTATTCTTGTATCTAGAAAAAGGTAGCTTAAATACTTTGCCCTCCGACAAATTTGTAATGTTTTATTTTATCATTAAATTAAAAAGAAGGATTCCAATTGGTCAAAGAAACCGTGGATTGATTTCTTCCTTGTCCTGACCGTGATTTGTCATTAAAGACGGACGGCTCTAAAGTGTCTAAGTTTGAAGTTAACTAGCTGGTCAAAGCAAGAATAAACAATGAACGGTGAGCAAATTTTTAGGAAAAATCACATTCTCCAAACGTTACTAACATTTTTACATGAAAGATAACAAAAATCATATACATACATACATATATATATATATATTAAGATTAAACCTATTCCATATTTAAAGAGATTTCAAAAGACAGCCTGAAGTTTGACTCTTCGTATGTGTTTCCTCTCAGTGACCAAAAAAAAAAAGAAAATAGGACGAAGTAACATCTCTACTTTGTCCCAAAAAAAAAAAAAAAAAAGAAATCTCTAGTAGGTAATGAGTGAACAATGTTGTCAACTGAAAAAAAAAATTAAAATTCTAGGTTTCTATAATCTTTGAAAGATACAGCTAGAGTTGATACTTCATTTTCACGTTCAGACTCTCTCTGATTCTCCTATCATGGCCTGATATCACTAGGTAATAGTACTTTGTGATGTGTCTCGTGTTCTACGGTACACATAGCACTAGTACCTTGTGGCTTTCATGAGGGGACTGGAGAGAAGGTTTATAAGTTTAGCTATTATTATTACGAACCACTTCGCAGTGTTCACACATTTTTGGATTTTAGAAAATTCCATGATTTTTGAATTGTAAAAAGACTCCAGGTGTTATGTTCAGCCCAACAAAAAGGGTTGGAATCAGATTTGGGGTTCCCAAGATTCACTCTCATCTGCTTGTTGTTTTGTTTCTTTTGTATATGTAATCATAATTAAAAAAAAAAAAGCCGAGATTTGAATTGAGAAATACTTCTGTGACAAAAAAGAAAAGAAATAATGGATTCATGTTTTAAGATAATCATATAATCGAAACATAAAATACATTCATAGCCTAAGGTATATGTGAACAAATATTTTGAAGCTGCCAGGACAGTTCAATTGTCAGGCAGCAATTTAATCATGAAAATTCATAATTGAATTTACTTTGTCTTAGTCTTTTCTGTCTTTTTTGAAGTTCTCATAATTTGGAATTGACCTTTCCTATTCACGAAACAGGTTGCAATCAATGTGTTGTATTCTTGAAATTTAACACACATTAGCAACCCAGATTATGAACCTTTATCTCACAAGACGTTCTTGCCCAACATTAGTTCTAAATTTTACTTTATTTCACATTCTATATCTGCAGATTTTTGAAGGCTCAGAATCTTTCTGGTATTCTTCCACCAGAGTTTTCAAAGCTTCAGCATATCAAGAGATTGTGAGATAAACCAATCCTCGCTTGCGAAACTTATAAATGATTCTTTGTTACTTTGGTGTCTCTGTCACAATGCCATCTTTATATTCAAAATGGATTGGTCAAGCTTCCTAATCTTTGCTGCACCTTCTTTCACACAGGGACCTTAGTCGTAACATCTTGACTGTTCTGTACCTCAGCAATGGGCTACCATGCACTTGGATGAGCTGTAAGAACCTTTCTCTGTGCTCTCTCTTCTTCCACTGTATTTCTCTTAAATAGCTTGTGTATAAGTAAATCAACTTCAGTTTATCAGTTATTGTCAATGAATATGCAACTCTCTTATGGGGAACAAGTTATCAGGTCCTTTTCCTAAAGTTCTCACCGATATCACAACCCTCAGAAACCTGTATGTTGAGAACCATCTTCTATTTCCCTCAAAGTTTTGTTTATTTGCGGTTTTGCATGTACACCATTTGAGATATCTTATTAATTTGGTCTACCAATTTAATAGCTAACCCGCATTTATTTATTCATTATTAATTAAGCTGAAGCCTTTTCTTCCATCTGAATTTTTTCTTTTCTAGACAGAGTCTTTGCTGTTGCCTAGGGTCAGCCTGGCATAGCTGCTACAGTGTTGCTAGTTTAGTGTAGTTACAAATTGCTTCTGTTTCCTTATTTGAAGAAAGTATCTGTGTATATGTTACAGGAGTATTGAAGGAAATCTATTTTCAGGCCCCCTTCCTCCAGAGATTGGAAAGTTTGTCAACTTAGAAAAAATGTAATTCCTTTAAACCTTTACTTAGACGATGCCAATGCTATTTTTCCCCTGACTTATCATTCTCTACTGTTAATAACATGGACAATATAATGTGTTTTAGCATTCTGTCATCAAATGCATTCACAGGAGAATTGCCGGTGGGGCTTTCAAAGTTGACCAAGTTGATTGATTTGTAAGTCTTTGCTTCTTTATCAAAACTAGATCATGAGGCCAATGTCTTGCGTGGAGTTAAGAATTAAATGGCCATGGCTTATAAATATTGCAATTTTTTTAGATTTTTATATGATATATTGATCATTAATTTTTAATCCATATTATGTAAGCTACTCAGCTAATGAAACTTATATTCTTAGTGGATAAATAAGCAACAATGACAAACACTGACAACCACTCATACACGCACACATATTTAATATAGGATCCATTTGCTCGTCAATGTGAATTGCAGAAGGATCCTAGGTTAATTGATGATCACTTGCTTCCAATCAATGAGCAAAATAGAAATTACATTTTCTCATCCAATTTCTTTGGGTTAATTTATTGTCCAATTGTGGCAGTTCCTAGCTTGCTTTCTAACTTTTCAAACTACATTTCTAGGAGGATTAGTGACAATATTTTCTCTGGGAGGATACCAGATTTCATTAGCAAATTGACGTCGATTGAAAAGCTGTAAGATTCTATCATGCGAGTTTTTTTTTACTCCAATATTTTTTGTAGTTTATTTTTCATATCACACTTCTTTTTACAGGCATATTGAGGGTTGCTCACTTGAGGGACCCATCCCTTCCAGCATTTCTGCCTTGAGAAGATTAAGTGATTTGTATGAAAATGTAATTCTTCATTTTTGTTTGTCATAGAAGATGAATATATTGAGTAACTGTTTTGCTCTTCAATTTTTAGGAGGATAACTGACCTGAAAGGTAGAGGCTCATCTTTCCCATCATTGGGTCACATGAAATCAATAAGGACCCTGTAAGCTCAGCTTAAATATTTTCTCTTATATAATTCTTTCAAAAGTAACTATATTTTATTTTGACTTGGTATTATAATGCAGCATACTGAGGAAATGCTTAATTAAAGGAGAGATCCCCGAGTACACTGGGAAAATGAACAAACTGAAAGTCTTGTAAGTAGTTCAACAAATGGCTTTCAAGACTCAGGATTTTAAATAGTTTACTCATATTTCACGATTTCTTCTGGGTGTTAAGATATCACAAGATCAAAAATGGATGAAAAGTCCAAACAGGCATGCTTTTTTTCAATAAATTTCGCTTGAAAAGTTTGTTATTAGGGCTTCTCTTTGTACTTTTTTTAATGAAAAGAATTAATCTCTTCTGCAATAAAGACAATTGTAAACACATGCAAATTTCATAGTGATGAATAGAGATTTCATAGCATGAACATGAATAAGCTGATCTTACATCTGTTTTGTGGACTCTTTTGTGATGATATAACTTGTTTGGTTTATTTTTCATCCTTAAGTTAATGCTTATTTATGATTTCTGTAGAGACTTGAGTTTCAATGAGTTGACTGGAAGGATACCTGCCTCTTTTGCCCAATTCGATAAAGCAGACTTCATGTAAGTGGATCGAATGGGTAAAACGTCTTGTTCAAACATCTCATTCCCATTTCAAATAAAACAAAACTACCTTGTTAATGTAGGTACCTCACTGGGAACAAACTAACAGGGACTATACCTAGCTGGGTTCTTGGAAAAAATACAAATGTGTATGTTAACTAATTGCGTTTTGCTCTTCTCTATATTATCTTAATCTTGTCTTCAATGAACAAAGTGAATACATCAGTCAGAAACAAATTTTGCCTTAGTTTTGAGCTTCTTGCAGTTGAGTTTCTTTATAGATCTTCTTGGGGAACGTTAAACTATTGATGATATAAACAATTTTCTATATATTTTGTGCTGCAGTGATGTTTCTGACAATAACTTTAGCTGGGAGAGCTCAAGTCCGGTTGAATGTCCAAGAGGGACTGTGTGAGTTTCACTCATGCTGTGATTTCTGTTTATCCTGCAGTGCTTATAAGTCTATAACAGTGACAAATTTTCGATTATTTTTCCAGAAATTTAGTGGAGAGCTACTCTTTTTCTGTGGATAAACAGTAAGGCTTTTATGCTTGGAATATTGAGTCTCACCCTTTACATTCTTTAATCATGGAATTCTCCACCAGCCATGCGTTCTTTAATCGTAGCTTTGAATTTTACATTCAAGACATGATCTTAAATTTCATTCCTTGTTGCAGAAAAAATGTTCACGCATGCTTGAAAAAGGACTTTCCATGCTCTGATTCAGACAGCCAATGTATGTAATCATACTTTATGGTTTTCAGGTAGTTTTATCTGCGCGGATACTTCTCGATAATGATTCATGCTATGAAACTTGCAATTTAGTTTTCTTTTTTTTTTTTCTTTTTAAATACTTGATGAGAAGTCTCCAGCTGAAGGTAACTACATAACGAGAAAGGACTAGAGTGGTAAAGAAGTCCTATTTCATGATTTTGCTTAATTAGTGAAGGGTCCTTCAGTGGTCTGAGACACAAAAATGAGAGAGATGATGATCGGATAGAAACCCTTTTCCTGATAGATCGTATATAGTTGAACCTGTTCTTGGTTGGTTTTTCTATATGGGGTGTCTTCTTTGGAGATGGAGGATTTGCACACAATTTTTATAGCCACTTCATTTTCTTTAACAAGAATAATTAGTGAAGGGTCCTTCAGTGGTCAGAGAGACAGAAAGGAGAGAGATGATGATAGGACAGAAACCCCCTCCCTCTAATAGTTCGTATGTTATTGAATTGATTCTTGGTTGTTTTTTCTATATATGGAGTCTCCTTTGGAAATGGAGTATTTACAGATAAATCTCTTAGAAACTCAAAGCAGGAGGATGATACGGTAATCTTTATGTTAGAATGATGTAATGTCTTTGCTGAAGCTTTTAACTCATTAGTCGCTTGGTACTCCCAATGTTTTACAAACTTTCAGAGTATAGGAAGTATCGAGCAGATGACAGCAAGATTCCAATGAAAATCATTTATGTTTGTTTTGAATTTTTATTATTTATGAAGATTTGTTTCTGCCAACCCTGGTTTATTTTGTTTTTTCAACAGATTACTCCTTGCACATTAATTGTGGTGGAAAGGAAGCAAATATCAATGGTACTATTTATGAAAGGGACAAAGAACAAAGAGGCGCTTCAATGTTTTACTCTGGTCGGAATTGGGCTCTCAGCAGCACTGGGAACTTCATGGACAATGATATTGAATCTGATCCCTATATTGTGACCAACACATCCAAACTTCTGTGTGTTTCTGCTCCCAGTTCAGAACTGTACACGACAGCTCGTTTGTCTCCCCTTTCTCTCACATACTATGGACTCTGTCTAATGAATGGAAACTACACTATTAAGCTCCACTTTGCAGAGATTATTTTTATCAACTGCAGATCATTTTACAGTCTTGGGAGGCGTGTATTCAATGTCTACATCCAGGTATCTGTTGTCTATGCGATTCACAAATGTTAAACAATTGAATTCCACAGAATTGTGTATTTATGTGGAAGGAATGTGTTAAATGAAGGGGAAGTTGGTCCTAAAGGACTTCAATATTGAGAAAGAAGCTGGTGGGACTGGAAAGCCAATTGTGAAGGTATTCAACGCTACAGTCACAAAACATACTTTGAAAATTCACTTTTACTACGCTGGAAAGGGGACAACTGGCATACCCACAAGAGGAATTTATGGACCTCTGATATCCGCCATATCAGTAGATCCTAGTAAGTCAGTACAATGTTTTAAATCTTTATGATAGTGTTTTTCTATGCTTGACAGAGTCCCTAACTATGGCTTTAGATTGAAGATACTGAACCAAGATATATGCAATGACAGCTTCTAAACGTGTATATATTAATTAAATAAATAACATGACATCAAGAGCTCCATGATAATTCTCAAATTTTATGCTGTAAAAAGATTATAATTGTAAAAAAAGAACAATCATATCAATATATATCCAGATCTCAAACTAGCCATGGATTGACTGAAGACAGAACTATATGAAAGTGAAAAGAAATATGATAGAATTGCAAGAAGAGTATAAAATTTACTCCTAAGATCTTTGTTCTTGCCTACAGTTTGCTATTTCTTTGATTTACCAAATTGCTAGACAAATGGCAGATCACGTACATCATCTCCCAGCTTTATGTCTTGAATTGAATGATCATCCTTGGCATCCATTTGAGTTGGGATCCTTCCATGTCTAGTAATTGCATAAGAAAAGATAAATACGTAGGCAAAGGGAAGAGATTGAATTTTATGCTTTTGCTTCCCATGAAAGTTACAAGTATTTCTTTTGTGCAGATTTTACCCCTCCATCACCGGGGATTGGAAAGAGAACGTTTATTATAGTGGCATTTGCCATATTAGCTGCTCTCCTGCTTCTTCTTCTGATGCTCCTAGGTATCATGAGGTGGGAGGGCTGGCTAGGAGGCAAAGGCTCCGTGTATAAAGGTATGGATATATCATCACCATGCTCTGCCGAAATTCTTTTTCGCAAAAAAAAAAAAAAAAAAAAGTCAGGACCTGGTATTACTAAGTAATACGGATTTAAGTTGGGCTGGGTTCCAATTGGGAGAAACTCGCCCAATGTAACCTTTTTTTTCACAAGTTTCAAACTTGAGATCATGTTTGAGAGGTGTTGAATATTTTACAACCAAACTGAGCTGCCATTGGTTGCCTTGGCATATTTTAGTAGAGCAAACTTCATTCTGATATGAAATAAAATGGAATACGGTACCATATGATATGGATGAAGTTATAAGGTTTCTTTGCTGACTTTCAAATTCGCACTTCCTCCCAGAGCTCAGAGGTATAGATCTGCAGACAGGATTATTCACATTAAGACAAATCAAAACAGCAACCAAAAACTTCGATGCTGCTAACAAAATTGGAGAAGGCGGCTTTGGTTCTGTTTTCAAGCTATTTAAATCTTCCTCCTGCCTATATTCTTGATTACCAAGTTTGTACTATATAGTCAAGTTTTGATGTTTCTTGATCTGAGAAACTAAATGTGCACAATGAGATATCTATATCTCCATATGACTTAAAAGTAAAAGTTTTTCTATACAAAGAATTCCAGATTTGTTCCATGCACTGCACATATTGGTTAGCAAGCCCTTGGCGCTTTAAGGAAAGGGCAAAATCATGAACATGCATTTGGCCCATCTGAGTTCTGTTAATCCTTATTTTCATGTTTAGAATGCTAATAAGCAAACATATATATATATATATCCACTGTTACTGATGCAGGGTCTACTATCCGATGGCACTGTGATTGCAGTGAAGCAACTTTCCTCAAAATCTAAGCAAGGAAACCGTGAGTTTGTGAATGAGATAGGAATGATATCTGGACTTCCAACATCCCAATCTTGTAAAGCTTTATGGATGTTGTGCGGAAGGGAACCAGTTGATACTGATATATGAGTATATGGAAAACAACTGTTTATCACGTGCACTTTTTGGTTAGCTTCATACTCAGCCTCCTTAACTATTGCTTGCTACCTGAATCAAAATTATGGTCAAGTCAAATAACTAATTAATCATCCTCTCCCAATCACGTTATATGCAGGAAAAGACCCGGCCTGCAAAGCAAAACTGGACTGGACGACCAGGAAGAAAATTTGCCTTGGTATAGCTAGAGCTTTGGCTTATCTGCATGAAGAGTCCAGAATAAAAATCATACATAGGGATATAAAGACTAGTAATGTGTTGCTAGATAAAGATTTTAATGCTAAGGTTTCAGATTTTGGTTTGGCAAAACTTAATGAAGATGATAATACCCATATCAGCACTCGAGTCGCAGGAACCATGTAAGTTTATCACGTACTAATACATGTTTCTTGTTTTCTGGTCAAAATATGTCGTTGCAATCATCATATGTAGTTTGGTGCAAAGATTCACTCCTTGTTTACAATAGCAACTGAAAGACTAAGATCAAAATGACATCATCCATTACCAATGATCAGTTGATCACATTGTCCACCTACTCTCTTTTGATTGTTTTATCATGATTTATACTTACAGATTTTTGTTGATACTATTTTGTAGTGGTTACATGGCTCCTGAATATGCAATGTGTGGCTATTTAACTGACAAAGCATATGTTTATAGTTTTGGGGTTGTTATATTGGAAACTATTAGTGGAAAGAGCAATACAAATTACAGACCAAATGAAGAATTCGTTTACCTTCTTGATTGGGTAAATCATAATTTATTTGAAACTTCTTTTGTTCCTTCCTTAGAGACGTTTCTTTTACTCTTTGATTTTTGAGGCAGCTTATTGGCGTGCACAGAAAACACTGCCAATCGTCATGCATTGTAATTATGACTTCCTTACATTACTGCTACCATCATCATGCATTCTAATTTCAACATCTCAAACAACTAGCTTCAAAATTCATCTATCCAATCCTTCCCCTTGATTAGCAAATCACTGTTATCAGATCCAGTGATATGCCACCTTTTGGGGATACCGTTTATTAACATGTTAGATTGACTGAATTTTGAAATGTGAGGGGTCAAGATGAAATAGAACTTAACTCAGTGATCAACTTGAGAATTGGTGAATCTATAAAGGACCCAATGATGATTTTAGTTGAAACCAGATTTTTGTCAGATAGTTAAACTGCTTCTTTTCCTTGCCATATTATTATTTTCATTCTGGTTTAGTTTAGAGTAAAACATGACTCCTGTTGCCAAATTACATCAAAATTGAAATCTGACGTTCTTTTATCAAATAAAAGTCCCTGTCCTCAAACTCAAGCTTCTTTCAGGCATATGTTTTGCAAGAGAGAGGAAATCTACTGGAGCTGATTGATCCAGACTTGGCATCAGACTATTCAACTGAGGAGGCCATGGTTATGCTAAATGTGGCTCTCTTGTGTACCAATGCATCCCCCACGCTCAGGCCAAAAATGTCCCAAGTTGTGAGCATGCTTGAAGGCCAAACAGATATTCAGGATTTGCTTTCTGACCCTGGATACTCTGCAAGTAGTTCCAAGCACAGGTCCATACGAAATCATTTCTGGCAGAACCCAGATACTGATTCCTCTAGTTCATATCTTGGGACTGAGGAAAGCTACCGTCTTGTACAAGTTAACTCATATATCAGGTAAGTGAGAGAGTCCTACAATTTCGTTTACATAGTAACCAGTGTGATCCTTGATGTGATTTTGTTATATTTTTGTAACCATCTAATCCTCCCCCAAAGAAAACGGAGGATATTAGAAATGTGTAAGTTTTTCTAAACAATGCCACAGCATGGCATAGGATTGTTCTAAGGCAGTTACATATTCTATTAACAAACAAGTGAATGTTGACCATAAAAAATTGTAACTTTAATATGGTGTAACTTTCTTTGAATAAATAGCATATTTTATAGTTATGCAATTATATTATTAGAAAAGAATGACACAAACAATGTGAAGTTAAATTTTCCCTTAACACATTTACCCTTTTTTTCTAAATTCTTTCTCTGAATGCATAGAATATTAATTTTGTAATTCTGTTTCTACTTTCGATCATATCAAATATAATCTGTAGGTTCTTTTGTCTTTCAATTGATTCAATAACATCATTCTAAATTTTTACGAAATGGGAAAAAATGATAAATTTGAGCGTCGATTAGATTTATTCTTCCAAAAAATAATAAACTGCACTTATTTAATGGATTGAACTCATTTCATCTCATAATTTCTCTCGTCAACAAAACAAAAATTATTTTTTAAATTATAGGTTCAACAGATTATAATGTAAATTTAATTTAATTAGAATAAAAATAAAGATAAATGAGCAAATTGTTCCCAAATAACTTATTTATTGTGTAAATTATTTTCTTAATTTTTAAAATTGGTGCAATCTGGTTCTATCATTAATAAAAGTTAATTTTAATTATTAGTTAATATAAAAATTATAGACAAAAACTCAAAAAATTACAAAAATTTTTTGGTCTTTTTCTGTAATTGTTGGGTTATTTACTGTAATTTTTTGGTTGTCTTCTACTCTTCTATAATTTTTGAAATTTTTTTTTTGTCATTTTATTGTTATATCAAAATTAACTTTTGTTAATAACAAGTACTATATTATACTATTTTAAAAATTTAAAAAAATAATTTACATAATAAATAAGTTTAAGATTTATGATACTGTCATATCTAAAGTTGAGATAATTTGCCTACTAACCCTAAAAATAAATAATACTTGCAAGACTAGACACGTGTAATTATCCCATCATATGTGTTTTGACTGATAAATATAAAGAGTGCTGAATTCGAAGGCCAATAACGGGGTGTTGGGAAAGGAGCATATGAGGGTTGATATTAAATGGCATTCTCCTCTTGTTGGCTGGGTCAAATAAAATTTTGATGCTGCTAATAAAAAAGGTTTGGCAATGTTTGGCTTTGGGGGGCTGCTTAGAGATGAAAAGAGTGGGTGGCTGAAGGGTTTTGTCAAGAAACTTGGGGCTCGTTCTGCTATTCACGCAGAAGTGCAAAACTGTGGGGTGTTTTCTGGGGATTGAGATTGGCTACTGAGATGGGTTTTAAGAAGATCATTGTGGAAGGGGATTCAACTTCTGTTATTAGCATGTTGAAGGATCTGGAAGATACAGGGGAGGCTTTTAGCTCCTTGTTGCTGTTGATTCAGAAAGAAATTGTTGCTGATTGTCAACTCTACTTCCAACATAACTACAGGGAGTGTTGATTGGTTAGTTAATTACAGTTTTAACTTTGATTTTGAGGGCTTGTTTTTTGTCTGAGCCTCCAACTGATTTACGTTCACTCCTGTACAGTGACAGCTTGTGAGTTTCTTAACCAGGGACGGATCTAGAGTTTTATTGTTGGGGTGACCAACTGAAAATAAAATAAGAAATGAGGGGCCATAATCAAGTTTACACTATTTTATAAATAAAAAGATAAAATTTTTACTAAAGCTGTGTGGGGGCAAGAACACCTCCTTGGCTCCTGTAAATCCTTCTCTGTTCTTATTACCCCACAGAAATTTTGGTGAATGAATAACACAGGCGTTTGCCTTTCCTATTATCAAATGCACACACACACACACATAAAGAGGGAAAAAAGAAAGTTGGGTGACCTAGACAGAGAATAAAGGCGAGTTGTCTAGGTTGTTAATTTTGTTAAGCAAGCAATGAATGTTTTATTTAACAAGTGAACATGATGATTATTTGCTTGGCAACTAAGAAATTGAGATAATTAATCATCTCATTGTCTAAGCGCTTTGTTCAGAATAGTTCTCTTGACAGATGATCTGATTATTTAACCTTTGTCTGTTAAAAGTAAATAAGTAATAGGGTACTATATTTCAATACATTGTTGTGGACGTTTTTTTCCTTATGTTCTTAAATTTAAAGACTTTTGTATAATCAAATCACGTAAAATATTGAATAAAAACGTCAATGGAGTATTATATCGATATAACAAATGAATTTGGTTGATTGAGATTACTTCAGAATTTAAAATTGATCCTGCCAATTTGTTTGAAGAAACGTGTTCTTTTAATCTTAAAAAAGGGTTGGTAAAAAAAAAAATCTTAAAAAAGGTGGAAATTTTTCAAAATATGTAAATATGATAAAAATTAAGGAAAATAGCATCCAAGAACCCTCATGTGAAATTTATATTAGAGAAGGATCAAATGATTTGCTTTTATCACTGTAGTCTTCTGGTCCTTCTAACATATTAATTTCATATGTGAAGAGACCAAAATGCCTTTATAGTTAAAAAACAAAAAAAAAAAAAAGGAAACCCTTACCGTCACCGACCATTGGAGCTTCGGTGTCGATGACATTTTATTTCAAAACTAAGGTTTTAGGTGATCAAGGATGGGTTTGATCTCATCACTCTTAGCCACTTAAAAAGCTTGGCAAGCAGCTAAGCCCTTTAATATATATATATATATATATATGGCAAAAAAAAATTATAAGTAATAAACCAAACACAAAACCAGTTTCATGTAATAATCTAATGTGTATTGTTAATTTATAAATGAAACTTGTTATTTTACGAATGTCACTTGTTAATATGATATGGACAATTACAAATTGGGAGTTTCAAAATTTCATTCATTTTACTTGTTAAATGTCCAAATGTCTTATTGTCAATTACGAATAGGTTGTTGTCAAAATTAAATGAATACTTATTAGTGAATGAATAACACGCACACCTAAACCCTTCCCATCATTTTTTCTAACTTGTTAAAACCATAATAGATTCTTGTTAATTTCAAATTAATTGTTGTTATTTTATGAATGTCACTTGTTAATCTAACATAGATAATTACAAATTGGAGGCTTTAAAACTTCACTCATTTTACTTGTTAAACATCTCAATATCTTCTTGTCAGTCACGGATAGATTGTTGTCAAAATCAAATGGATACTTGTCAATGAATGACTAACACGCACAACTAAACCTTTTTTATTATTTTTTTAACTTGGTAAAACCATAATAAATTTTTATTAATTTTAAATTAATTGTTGTTATTTTACGAATGTCACATATTAATTTAACATGGACAATTATAAATTAATGGCTTCAAAACTTCACTCATTTTACTTGTTAAACGTCCCAATATTTTATTGTCAATAACGAATAGGTTATTGTCAAAATTAAATGGATACCTATTAGAAAAATGATAGGAAGGGTTTAGTTGTGCGTGTTAGTCATTCACTGACAAGTATCCATTTGATTTTGACAATAATCTATCCGTGATTGACAACAAGACATAGGGATGTTTAACAAGTAAAATAAATGAAGTTTTGAAACCCTAATTTGTAATTGTTTATATCAGATTAACAAGTGATATTTGTAAAATAACAACAATTAATTTGAAATTAACAAGAATCTATTATGATTTTAACAGGTTAAAAAATGATAGGAATGATCTAGTTGTGCATGTTAGTCATTCACTAATAAATATCTATTTGATTTTGACAACAACGTATCCGTGATTGACAATAAGACATTGGGACGTTTAACAAGTAAAATAAGTGAAGTTTTAAAATTTTCAATTTGTAATTGTCCATGTTAAATTAATTAGTGATATTCATAAAATAACAAGTTCCATTTAGAAATTAATAATACACATTAGGTTATTACATGAAAGTGATTTTGTACTTGGTTTACTATTTATAATTTTTTTTGCCACACACACATATATATATTAAAGGGTTTGATGGCCTACCAAGCTTTTTAGGTGGTTAAGGGTCTTGAGATTAAACTCACCCTTGGCTACATAAAAACTTCAATTTTGAAATAAAATGTTGCCGGTGCCAGAGCTTCGGCGACCAACTGCCAACAACCCTGCCGGCATCAGGGGCTCTAGCGACTTTGCCTCCGGCAATGGTTCGACGGTTGGCGCCGGCGATGATAAGGGTTTCTTGTTTTTTTTTTTGTTTTTTAACTATAAGGGCATTTTAGTTTTTTTGCATTTAAAATTAATATGTCAGAAAGACCAGAAGACTATAATAATAAAAGCAAATCATTTGATCCTTCTCTAATATACATTCCGTACTTGGATGCTATTTCCCTTAAAAATTATACGAAAAAAATTATGGGGAGACAAAAATGAGATATTATTATTAGTAATTATAAACAAAAGTAACATAATTTTTAATTCAAAATTAAGTCAATTACAAAAAAGAATGATTAATTAATTTTTTGGACAAAAGCCGAGGATATAGGGATAGCTAAAGTGAAAGCAATTCATCGGTAGGACAAGTGATTGGGCACCTGAACCAGAAGTCACCACGAGACTGGTTCGAATTTCCGGTTTGCTTTCACCTGTTCACACGCCGTTCACAAATTCTCTGCTTTCTTTGTTCTTCCCTCGTCTCTGTTGCTTACAGATCCCATACATTCATTCTCTTTCCTTCCAATTTCTGGCACTTTGGGCAACAATGGCGGCGATCGTGGTCCAACAATTAGCTCACTGTATCACTTGCCATGCTTGGAGCCCTGACAAATCCAGTAATATAACGCTCCCATCACCTTTTTCGGTTTCGATTTCCCTGTTTGAGTGCTGAAAAAATGTGCCTGTTGGGCTGTTTTGTGATTATGATTTTCAAGATATGGAACTGCATTTATTTGTTCTGATAGTTTTGGAAAAGTTACTTTTGGATGAATAGATGTGGTTGTTTCAGTGGAAGGTTTTGTTCCCAGGTTATTCCCCCTTTGATCTGTTGGAGTCGACTTCAAGTTAAAATTGCAATTTTCTTCTATTATATATGCAGTTTGGATTTAGATTCCTAAGATATAGAAATAACTTGCGAGGTACTTCGCTTTGCCTTCTTTGCAGAGATATGCAGTTTGGGTTAAACGTTGTTAACCTTACTTTTTTCTTGCAATCTTTTGGTCAATTTGAGTAGGCAACTGTTGGTCCTCTGGTGGCTATTCCAATTTGTTAGTGAATCTTATTTGAACATTTTACACAGCGATGCTGGATTAATGCAGGAACTTGCTAGCTAAAAGCTTATAGAATTAGAATATTTCAAGCTGTGTCTATATTATCATGGGAAGGGAAATTGTAATCTGCGTTGTATCTTGACTTTTCTTTAGTAGACATTAGGCATCCAAATCGCATGATAAGATGGGAGGGTACTAATAACATTTTATGGATGTTTATTTGACAAACAGAAAAACTATCATGAGAAGAGAGATATAATGCAAAACAAGAAATGACTAGAGGAGGAGATCATCCTGACTAACTAAAAGAAAAAAGGAGAGATAAAAATGGGACTCTTTAATAATCAAACAGTAAGGAGTTCAATACAAAACAATGCAGAACTTACGGGTATGCTTGGACATTTACCAGAGATGTTTAAAATGGCAAAGGAGACACTTTTGATGAGTTTAATAGGCCATAGTCATTTGTCGTTAGGGAATGTGATTGCAGCTTTTTGAATATTTGAGTGGTCATAAAATATTTTTATATTTTATTTTATAGTTGTTGCATTTTGTCCCAATAATAATGAAGTGCACATCTACAAATTGTTTGAAGACAAATGGGAAAAGGTGCATACCCTTCAAAAGGTACTATGGTTTTTAGCTTCTTATCCTCAATTGCAATGAATTCAAAGCAATTTCACTGGATATGTTTATCCTTAATTTCGAAGTAATTTCATGGATTCTTTTCACAGCATGACCAAATAATTTCTGGGATTGACTGGAGTACAAGAACAAACAGAATAGTGACTGCATCGCATGATCGGAATTCGTGAGTGCCCATATGGTTAAGTTTTGAAACATTGGATAATCTATACCTGGTTAATATTATAATGTAAAGAAGCTTAAGCTTTGAGCTGGTTTTAGCTATTTTTCTTTTAAATTGCTCACATTTTGATCACATGCTAAAATAAAATCATATCTATAGATATGTCTGGAACCTGAAGGATCAGAATGGGTGCCAACTCTTGTCATCCTCAGGCTAACCGTGCTGCTCTATGTGTTCAGTGGAGTCCGAAAGGTAGGAAGCAAGTTGCATGTTATTTGGAAGATGTAGTTGTTACCATGAACTGTCTCTAGTAAGCCTGATGCTTTGTTGCCAAAAGAGATCTGGCTGTCTCAAAACCTTTTCTAAATTATTTAATTTGAGTTGAAATAACTGCCTCTTTAGCTAAGTGATAAGCAAAGTGAGAACGCTATGTTTTTAGAGACATATCTACATTACGATTATTTGTTATATGAAAAATTTAATAATAACTATTGTCTTATATTATTTTTTTTAAAAGTCTAATTGCTATTATTTTTGTTATTATTGTATTTAACTTATTCTCGGTGCTCTTATAGTGCCACAGATTTTACTGTGGTGACTGCAATTTCTTGCCTTTTGTGTGTCTATCTCTGTGCTTATGGTTTTATATTCCTCCAGATATGCATTTATTTATGTGATGAACTTTTTGCATGGTTTTTTTGTTTGCCATGAATTTGTAGGCATGACTTAATTGTAATTTTAAACTATTGTTATTTA